CTTTCGCTTCATTATCTTCAGGATTTTCCTCTTTTCCTGCATTCAGCTCCTGCTTGGTGAGTAACATTTTTATACAGCATTGCTTTATTTTTGTGTGCCAGCATCCAGGACACCGAGGAGCAGATCAGGATGCTGCCGCTGAGCTTTACGAACACAGATCACACAGACAGTGCCTGCCCTGGAGAGCTGTATTTAAGAAGGGATTTTATACAAATGGGATTAAAGTTTACCAGGCAGCCGGGGGAGGCGGCCCATCGTTACAGCCACGGCGAATGCATCTCAGCAGTGCTCTGGGAAGCACAAACAGTGCAGAAATCCCTCGCAGTGACTGAGAACGCCGATAAGGGACACGTTTGCACTGCTCCCCACAGTGGCTCTTTTGAGCGTAAAGCAGTTGGATGAAACAAGAGTAACATTCAGCACTTGCATGGCTCTTCACAACTTCCAAGGACTGCAAAACATCAACTGATGAATCCCCACTGCGCCGCAGTGAGGACAGCAGCTCATCCCCACCACGCTCATCTTCCTGATGAGGCAACCTGTCCCCTGCAGCGCAGCGCCCACCTCCTCCATGATGGGATGGATCTCACCCTGGAGGAAGGTGCACTGCCCACTCTCCCCATCCCTCGTCTTTTTCCTCCCTTTTCTTAGATTAAGATATTTGCCTTCAATGGAAAAAAGTTTATTCACATGGGAGCATATTATAGATGGACTTAACTATAGGCTAAGATGTACGTATTTAAAGCACTCATGTTGGATAAGAAAAAACATGGCAGCATTTGCTACAGCAAATAGAATGTAAGAAACAAGATCAGACTGAGAGGCTGGAAACAATGTCAGTGGTACGCATGCACCAAAAGGTAGAAAACTGATGATATGTGTGACTGAAAGGAAACAAGCAGTGGTAAGGGCAGAGAAGGGCTGTCAGCCATGAAGACAACACTACAAGGACCCATGCTTGAGATTCTCAAAGCTCTGTGAAGGAGTCGTACAGTTCCAGATGAAATCAGTTGAATCTCAGGTAACTCAGCTCAGAATTGCATATGGGGGAGATTCCACACAGAACAACATGACATGGAGTATTCACAATGGCCGCGTTGTGACTGATGCTGAAGGCAACTGGTGTGCAGATAGGCAGCTATACTGAGATGTCCTTGCTGTTCATTCTTCCCATCCTGGCTGGGTGAATTAACTAGCAATGGGGGTTTGAGTCTGTCCGCTTTATCCTTTAACGGAAGAAGAAGAAAACAAATATGAAGATGACTGACAATCCTGGCTGGTGGTTGGAAGGCACCCGGCAGCCGCTCGAGAGCTTTGATTCCAGTCCATACCTTTCAGAGGAAACCAGCAGCAGTGTACACAACCAGTCACAAGGTTATAAAGGTGTAGAATCATCTGCTTTCCCAAACTTCTAAAGTGAACTGCCTCAGATCACAGCCCATGGTTCTGATTAGAGACTTCGAAATACTCAGTAGTAACAACCACACCAAAGATGGGTAACGTACCTACAGCCTTCCTTCAGGAAAGCTGTATTCCACTCAATGATTGCAAAGTAGCCCCAATTTTAAGCGCCTCTGCCTCCATCTTCAGCATATTTCTCAGGAAGATTAGAAAATTCTCCCCTGTTCTGTGATGAATTAACTTTGTTTGGTCATATTTTTTGAGGGGGGAAGGGGGAATTACCATGTTACTGTATGCACAAGAGATCAAATGCATGATTAAAAATATTTATAATACTGATGTGGAAAAGAATGATATGTTAAACAGATAAGCATATAATAATGCATGTCTTACCCATAAAGTTTAATTTATCCCTTGGGCAGGGCATAAACTTTGCTCAAGAACAACATGTTTTCCATCTATAGATTGCAGAGCTAAACTGCTTAATTTTACAGCAAATTGATCACTGCTGTAATATTTCAGGAGCAAAATGATCCTCAACAGTCAGTTCGGTTTCAAAAGCCAAAATTTATAGTTCTGCTTCTGATTTAGTGATAAGGTTTTTTAACATATTGGGCATTTCATCACTTTCTATCGGGAGTCAGCGTTGAACCAACAAAGAAATATTTTTTGAAATCAACAACAACAACAATAATAAAAAAAAAAGGAACATAAATAATACGCCTCCCACTGACAGAAGGGCTTAATATTCCCTTCAGATGGGTAGGAAATTACTCAGATTCCCGTCCTTGTAAACATGTGTCCTGGCCTCGATGGGAGACGTGCTGTGCCGCCCTATGGGGCGAATGGCACAGATCCGAGAGCAGAACCGCCTTCCTGAGCGCTCAGGAAAAGATTCCATTTCTTTTCCCACGTGGCCGAACTTCATTTCACCCAATGCAAATAAAATTTAGTACATCTAAAGTTATTTGACACTTCTGATATGTTTAAAATAAATGTGGAGAGATTTAATGATGTGAAAGTTCATGACTCAGTAAAGATTGCTCCCTAGCTGGGGTCTTAGGATAGACACCTATAAAATCAAATTATTATAATCACAGGAGTCATGAGAAAAAAGTAGGCCCTGCTGAGCTCTATTCACCGAGTTTTGCATTCATTATACTCCTCCTAGTTATGAAACAAAGGGACGAGGTAGGCTGAAATCTCAAAAGGTTTTATCAAGTCATTCTTTGCAGCAGCATTTTGTGATTACTATGGTGAATTTTTAGAACGCCGATTCATGTGCCAAGAGAGGGGAAAAAGACACGACTCCTCAGCTACCTCCACCAACAGCAAATGCTCAGCTCTAACAGTAACTCCCCAAATTATGGACACTGGCAAAATAAAAGTAAGTGCACGGGTTGTCTTTATGGGAGAGCGTTATGCTCTCCAATAAATGGCCCAACTTAAGGAAAATTATAGGCAACACGAAGGTCAGATTTTAAGAGGCTAACTCACACTGACTCGATGCTGTCTGTGATTTGGGAGACAAACAGCTCATCAAACTCCTTCACACACACGCGCGTTCCCCATCCATTGCAGCACTCCATCAGCAAGGCCGTGTGATTATATTTCGGTCAGCAGCACACATTTGCACACAGGAGAACATGTATATGGCTGTTTTATAATCAAGAAGGTTATTTCCCAAAGCTGCTATTGCCTTTATGCATATATCTGCACACTGACCTGGGACACACTGAACGCACACGCAGTAATTAGGTCATTTACTTAGGCATGATATTCCTTCTGAGGCTTAAAGGGTAAAGCGTCTCTCTGCACACCGAGTGGGGTGCAATGGTATATTTTTCATGTTTGTGTTTTATAATGAAGGAAAAAATGGAAAGGGAAGGATCAAATGCCAACATTTTCGTGAGGAAAACAATAATTATGGGTGCATATTTCACCTGCAGTTATTTACAAGCAGAGTTTAGATCAGGGAGATGTCTAAATCCCTGATGGAAGCTCGCCGTCAGCAGTGCAGACACGTTGTCTGGCCGCAGCCTGCCGGGCTCAGTGGGATTATGCTGGGGAAGGAGCAGCCAAGCACTCTGGCTCCCTTTAAAAACCGAGGCGAAAGGTTTCAGCTACAGGCTCAACTGATTGAAGTGCACATGTTCTTCTTCAGCCAGCTACACCCTTTAGCTGACCGAGCAGGTAAACCCTCCCAAGTTTCTGCTGGTAGGCACTTACATGTACAACATATCCTCAGCTTTAGAGGAGTGGAAAAGCCGTGATTGATGTTAGCCAATATTTCAGACTCATTTTCTAAGACTCAAAATTCAGCTTCAGAAATATATACAAGGCTTCTAATGGGAGAAAGCACTAGAGATTGCCAATCTTCTTTTAATTAGAGTTAAACGTAGGAAATCCTCTACCAATCAGCTGCAAAGAACTGTCTGCGGACAACTTAGTGGCTTTGTTTTGCTTTGCAACATCTCTCTTGGGTGGTGCTCACATCAGATTCCTCCTTCAGGTGTTTGTGTGGCAGCTGTGCTCCAGCCCCCCATCCTGGAGCTGGTGCCAGAGGAACCACACCGACAGCTCCAGCCCTCAGCATGTGGGACTGCATCCCCACAGCCTCCCTGCTCTCAGCATGGCCCACTCACAAGTGGCCTTACAAGAAACACGACTGTCATTATGCTTGCCAATGAATTTATTGTCTTGCCAACGAATGCCCTGCACTTGCATTCATAACAACTGTGTGCACCCAACTCTCAAGGTGAAAATCAGGTGGAACCACGACCTATCAATCCTAAAGGATGGAATATGAAAGGCACAGCAAGTCCGGGCATTCAGGAGGATGGGTTCAGGTTTGCTCTGTTGGCTCAGGAACCCTAACCAAACATTGCAGTGAAGGAGATCACAGTTTTGAAAGTTCAGCTGCAAACCTACCTTCATATCAGAGTATTTTTCCCTCTCTGCTGTAGCAGCACTAAATGCAGTTTGCTCTCCTTTACCTGCTTCCTTTTTTTGTGTGTGTGTGTGTGTGCATTCCTGGGGCCCTGCAGTTCCCTCCTGCTGTATTTCAGCCTGTGTGCTCTCTTTGCATGAAATGCTCTCTATCTCTCTATTATTATTCCCTCTAAACTTTCTTTGTTACCTGCTCCATCTCCTATTATTTCTACTGTGTCATCAAAAACTGACTCCGTACAGTCTGCCAATTAGCCTTTGTCTGTCAGCACATTCATCAGCATCCTGAAGAGTGATGGTGAATGGCAGAGCATGGCAGTGCTATTTGATATGCAGCCGTATGTCCTTGCACACTGATGTACCGTTGCAGATGAAGAGGGAAGACATGGCTTAGATTTCCCAGAGACAAAACTTTTGGGAAGAAGCAGACACAATTAGGGACAAATGAAACAGAGTTTCAGAGAATTACAGAGAATTACAAAAGCAGTGCTGGCAATGCTACAGAATTAACAGCAAAGTGCACAGAACTTCTTTGCATTTGGAATTGCCTGTTACGAATGCGGACCTCCTGTGTGTGCAAGAGACAAAAGTCTGACATGGATATTTCCAGGAGACAAAGAGAATTAACAGCATAATCTGATATTACATACCTGTGAGTGGGCAATGCAAACACAGCTGCTTCTGTTCCTGTTACAGCGTGACTTCGGTGCATGACGCACACTGCATTTTTCTGTGGAAATATATAAGTATGCATTATTCAAAATTCAAATATTAATGATCACATAAATATTCTATGATCTTGGCTATTACTTTCAGAACAAACATTTTAATTTTAAGATGTCATATTTGTAAAAGCTGTATTTTGAGTAAGAAAGAGAGAGAGGAAACGAGAGGCAGACCCTGCTGGAGGTGTCTCGGTGCCTTGCCATGCTGTCTTTGCTCAGCAAATACACGGCATGGTTAAATGTTTTTTAGCTCTGCGGGGTTCACCTCCTTCAACATTTGCAGCGCTACTATTGAAAAGTACACGGAGAAATAGAAAGCAGATGCACACTAGTTTGTGTTTGGATGAACTGTAGGTCTGAAAGTGCACGCCAGTAAGTAGGATTAGGTTTATGGGGCTGAGCTTCAGAGTAAACTTGAAGGATATGCAGGACCAGAGCAGCAGGATTAGGAGAGAAGCCCATAAAACTCCAACCCTCTATCACTAGATCTTCACTAAGAAAGAGATGTTTCCAAATTAATCAGAAAGCAAAGTAAAACAATAAATTAAAAAACATTAAGCACAAATGAGAGTTATGACTTGTCTAGACAATCTGGATCAGAATTTCAAAGGGAAGGAATAAGAAAATTATATTCATGCCAAAAGTCAGCTTTTGTGTATGCAAATGGAGAGTTATTACCAATGTTGCAAGCAGATTTCCAGATATCATTTCAGAATCAGCCTGCCACATCTCAACGAGCTCTATTTTGCAAGTGCTCAGCACGTGCCCCTGGAGCCAGATTCCCAGCAGAGCTCTGCAGTGCCATCACAGTGGGGTGGGACGCATGAAGCACTCAGAAGAAGTTGGCTCTCATTTAATTAAGTGGAAACAAAGTGCTTTTGGAAGCGTAGAGCTGAGTGTGAGTAATAACATACAGAAACTGTCCCAAAAGTGCTGTGCAAATTTGCACACTTTACGTCCATTAATAGGTGTTGATCTTGATCAGTTCCCACGAATCACTTCCATTTCTCGGGGGTTCCTGCACACATCCAAGGAACCAGAGAGAGCCCCACCACTGCTGTGCTGCAAGAGAGACACAAACGGGAATGAAGTGTGCACAGAGCCCTCCTGCCTTATTGTTCCACCTCTCAGTTGTGACATTGCAACTGTTTGATTTCATACTTAGAAACCATCACACCTCACCAGCGTGTTTATTTGTGATTTCGTGACCAGCATTCATTTGTTCGTGCCCTCAGCATCACGGTTTCCTGGCAGCAGGACGCAGTGCTCCAGAAGCATTCCCTGCAGGGAAGCTCCATGCTGAGGAGCTCCATGGAGGCTCTGGCTTGCAAAACATTTGGGATTTGGTTGCATGTATTAGGGAATATCTAATTAGTGCATGTATCTGTCTTGGTGATAAACAGAGATAGTTACAATCGTTTGTATGCACAGAGGCAAGAAGTCAGTTCTAACACAGTTAAAAACACTGAACAGTCGATCTCAGGAAGAGCTGTACAGGGGCCAGGGGAACTTGAAAAACAAGATGTCTGCAGAAAGATCTACTGGAATAAGATGTGATGACAGCCCATGCATATAGGTACTGCTTGCACACTGCTGACAACAACCGAAGCAGGCTGGCTATGAGCTGAGTGCTTGGCAGGGTGCAGGGCAGGAGCAAGCCTATGGCCACAGGATGCTCCTGCAGGCTCTCGGAGGCTCTGAGGCTTCTCCTCACCTTCCTCCTGTCTCACTTTTTGGAGAAAGTGCAGTCATGGAGTTGCACAATGGGGACGGGCCCTGTGCTCCAAAGGCCCCAAACTGTTTCTGCGATGCTGTGGGTGGCATCCAGGCTGCACCCAGGTGATGAGCACCTACAGCCAAGGAACACCACGATCAGCCTCTTGGCTGATTTCATGGAGGAATCATCTTCCTCGTCTCAGCATGCTTCCCTTTGCTGCATCTGTGTTAATTGTGAGGTTTTCACGTATTTGCTTATAGGTCTGTGCCTTTCCATTTGCTGATGGCAGAATGAATACATTATGCCATATTCTATGTCAGTGGGTAAGCTTCTGTCTCTCCAGCTTCCTTTCCATTGCTAACAAACTCCTGGCAGAGGTCTGTACCAGTCAGTGACTCATTAGTCACGTTAGGAATTGCACCTCGTATTGCTCTGCGGAGAAGAGGTGCTCAGTGTCCTCTACTGAATGAGCGATCGGCTGCCAGGGCCAGAACCGGACTGAGAGCTTGGAGGAATAATCCTTCAGCCATCGGGTCTGACTTATTCATGCTGTTAGCATCTGAAACTGCTGCTGACCAAATGGTGCTCAGCAGGGTCACACCTCAAGGATGCAATTCATTTTCCTTATAATTACTGCTCTGTTCTAAGAGCCCAGAGTCTCTTTAAAGAAAGTTTATCTGTGGGCTCAATAAAACCACTCAAAACCACTGAAGAAATAATCTTTAGAAACATCCCACAAGCACTGAGGATGGGGAGAACTGGGAAGAGCTGCAGTCACAGCGCATTGCTTCCTATCAGCAGCTCCTGGGAGGACGTGGGAGCCGACACCGAAAGGACGATGAGAGCGGCCAGCAGGTGCTGCAAATGATGTTTCCATTGGGACTGCTGTCATCTGCCCTGGGCACACAGACTGCAGCTTGCTCTGCACCAGCCAGGGAAATTGAAACCTTAAGGGATGTATCTTGCAGTCCTTCAGCTCACGTGACGTGGTGCTGGGAGTGCTGTTGTCCATCTCCAAACCCAGTCCTCCAGGTGGGTTTTGGTCTGCTCACTTCAGCCTGACTCACACCTCAGCTCACAAGAATTTCAGACTGATGTCAGGTTTGGACCCTTACGTCTCCTGCAGTTCTGACCCTGCTGGCTCCCTTCAGACCAGGTGCACGTGCTCGGTCAGTTTTCTCTGCAGCAGGAGGCAGACAATTCTGTGCTGCGCTTAACCTTTGCATTTTCATCTCCTGTAATTCCTTCTGATACATTTCGCCACATGATCTTCAGATAGGATTTGTGTTTTCTCTTGGGCTATTTCTAGTGTCCTACATATGTCAGTAACTTTCTGCAGAGTCAGACCATCTTCCCTGCAGAATTTCCTATTGTCATCACTTCTGAGCCCCTCTGCAGTTGCTGCCCCTGTTAATTCCCTTAAAAATATATTCAGTTATGTGGCACCAGCAGGTCTGTGTTGCACTGTCAGCCCAGGATGAGCTGCTTAGAGACAGACATTCCACTGCTTTTGCACAAAATCTACAACATTTTTTCTAGTCATAATATCGTATGGCTACTTAGGTGATGGGTCACATACACAGCCCTACTTTGTTTTATCTAGTTACGTGTGTTCTGCTATGGAGATGCTATTTGCTAAATGCTGTAAATACAATGCAGTTGATATAATAGCTATGATTTTCCTTATTCCTCAAAGTAAGTACATGCACTGCATTCCTGTGCAGCCACTTCTCAGCACAGAACTGTAACACACTACGTTATAGAAGAGAGATTTTCATGGACACAAATGGGAATTAAGTGTCCAATCCAATAGACTTTTAATTGGAATTGAGCAACCACAAAGCCTTTGAAGAACTCTGCTACGCTGAACCTCTTAATTTAGCCCCAAACTGTTTGTTGATGGGAATCCTAAGGCAGCTGTAGGTAAAGGTTTCCTTTGGCTCCAGTATCCACATCACCATTCACAAAAATTGCAACGAGTTCAGCAGTAATAAAGTCCATATTTGGCTGAGATACAGATGTATTCTGTTGGTTTTTTTTTTTTACCCTATAGCAAAACCATATAGAAATGTTATTGCATTTAGCAGGGAAATTAAACGTTCCCCTCTGTTTCAGGAAATAAGTTACTGTGTGTTTCTTTCAAACACAATTCATTAAAAATCTGTTCTGCAGTGGCAATGGGCACTTTCTGACCTGAAGTGGGGGTTCTTCTAATGATAAATGCATTTCTTCAAATCACAGTTGTGCACATTATACATACCTTAATAAAATCCAATTGTTGATTATGATGATTAGACATCTTAAAAAATCTTTTTCCATGTTTTTTCAGATCTGTGGTTTCAACACATACAGAAATCTTTAAATACCAGAAAAACAAACATCCATAAACAATACTGTGAATGGTGAGGAGCCAAAGCATGAATGCAAAGGGGAAATGTCTTTTGCACGCTGTGCTGATGAAAAGACGACCAACATGCTAGAGATTCTGGCTGAAGTCACCAAGGTTGCTCTCCCCACTCACTCATACATTGCAGCACTTTTTAGGACAGCGTTGTGTTTGCTTTCATCTGTTAGTTTGGTGCCTGAGGAAGTGGTGCAGTGGTTGGTTATCAGGCGCTGTGCTCAGTTCTGGGCAGAAAGGCAGTCCTCCTCGTGTTGGCAATACGTCTGCCATCTGCACATGTACATCAAGTGCATGTTTTACTTTCTTCCTTTGTATTCCACATATACTGCTGCAGATAAGGCTAGACAAATGCACTTTCATTGACAAAGACTCACAGAATGCTTTGGGTGGAAAGGATATTTGGTGATGGTATCTTGCACAGTTTGTCCCCTCTGCACCACGGCAGGATTGATTGCTTTATCACCAAATGATCCCTGATGGATGAGTTTTGGGTCTGGGCATCAGTTAAAAGTGAGGACGATAATTCAGTTTTACTGATGCCACTGAAAGGGGAAGTTAATCTATTAAAATGTTTAGAAGTTTTACAATTTCCCATAAAGTGTTTAAAGCTGAACGTCTCAACCTCTGCCACGTCGTGACCTGTTCTTTCTTCTTGTCCCCCCTTTTATCCGTGCTTACAGCATAGACTAACCCTACTGGCCTCCAGTAGGGCTTTGAGGGAGGCAAGGTGGCCTTTCTCTATTAAAGACACAAAGAATCTCATACACAGATCAAAAGGAGTGGTGAGATTTGTTAGCAGCATTACAAATAATAGGGGCTAACAGCCGGGGGTGGCCAATGTCATGTCTCTGGCAGCACCTCCCTGGGCTCACAGCCTCACATCC